AACCTAACAAGTGTTGGTAAATCAGGAGAAATTAAAACCCTCAAACATTTCCCATGAAATGTTGCAGCCACTGTGGAGACATTTAGGCAGCTCCTTGGAAAGTTAAACACGAGTTACCATACGGCCCAGAAAGGGGGCTCAAGCCTTCTTTGCAGCCCTCACCCCCAGCCGCCGAGAGGTGCCAACAGCCCAGCGTCCGTCACCGGGGACGGACACCCGCGTCCGTGCAGTGGAATGACTCGGCCGTGCAAATACAAGCAGTGCCGATTCATGCCGCACCATACATGAACCTTCAGGTCATCATGCTGAGGCCACCCCAGGGACCCCCTCTGCCATACCCCAACCTGGCTCACTCCCTTGGGGCGCCCAGGCCCCCGTCACCGAGACCCTCTTCCCCGAGCCCGGGCCCCCGGGAGAGGCAGCTGGTCACCAGCCAGGACCTTCGCGCGCGGTTCTTAGACGGCTGAAGGCTTGAAAGGAGCCACGGTGGGAATTTTCGCACCACGTCACTCGCGATCCTCCAACCTGGGCTTTTCGCTTCAGAGGGGCCGTCCCCTCGGTCAGCCCCATCTCTCCTGCTGCCTGTGGGCATCGGTCTCCCTCGGGCTCTTGGGGTTCAGCCGAGCAGCCCCACCCTTACTCCCAGCAGAGCTCTCAACAAAGGCGGCTGTGGGATGTCTCGGGTTTTTTTTAAAACTACTTCCCTCCCAAAGGGAAAGCTCCAGCCTCCTAGACACCCTCTCTGGATGGTGGCTTCCTGTCACCGTCACATTGTCCACATTCCTTCCTGCAGGTAAATAAATGCTAATTTTCTCACATCCCATAGAAGCAGCTCTTTTCTTGGCACGAGCCCCGCTCTCAGGGCCCCCACTGCACATTTCCACATAAAACTCACATCATGGTTTCTAATCCAACCGATCCTGCCCCCCTCCCCTCCCACAGAAGCCAGATTTCTCGTGACTTTTGTCTCTCTGCTCTCTGGGGAGCAGTTTATAGTTAAGGACACAGGCCCACTGGGTTCCAATCCAGGCTCTTCTGCTTCTAGTGTGGATTTGGTGCAAGTGCTTAGCTGTGCCTCAGTTTCCCCATCTGTAAAGTGGAAATCACAACAGCTCCTACTTCACGAAGCTGTCGTGAGGGTTTCGGAGTCAATATTTATTAAGTTGCTCAGAAGAGTTGCTGGCATAGCAAGAGCTATTATTTAAGTGTTTGCTAATACAATAAAAATAAACAAGCTCCCAAACCATTCGCTGCTGTGGATTCAGGAGAGAATTATACCCCCAAATAAATAGGATACACAAAAATCAAAATGTACTTATGATTCAACCGAGGATTGAGAAATGGGCTAAATAATAGCAAGCACCAGAAAGCGGCTCAGAGAGGGGCTGTTGGGACTAACCGGCCCTCCTGAGTCCATGCCCAGGGCTGGCCCAGCTGTTGACACCTCCCGGGCACCCTGCAGGCCCCTGGGCTCCAACCTCTCAGGGCTTAATGAGCTGAGCTACCTGCCATGGGTCCATGACCAGCGTCCTCAGGGACCTGCTCCAACAACAACAAGGAAACTGGCTCTTCTGTGCCCTTGTGATGGGACAACACACACCCCTGAGCTGTATATAAGCCTGACCACTCCAAGCAGCTCACACACCTCACAGCCACTCCTTCACACCCCACACGCTCACACCCTCCTCCAGCCCCACCGCCCGCCATGGCCGCGTCCACCCTGTCCGTCTGCTCCAGCGACCTGAGCTATGGCAGCCGCGCCTGCCTGCCCGGGTCCTGCGACCCCCGCACGGACTCCTCCTGGCAGGTGGATGACTGTCCAGAGAGCTGCTGTGTCCCCACCTGCTGTGTCCCCAGCTGCTGTGAACCCTCCTGCTGTGTCCCCAGCTGCTGTGAACCCTCCTGCTGTGTCCCCAGCTGCTGCGCACCCAGCTGCTGCTGTACCCTGGTCCCCACCCAGACCCTCGTCTGCACCCCAGTGAGCTGCGTGTCCAGCCCCTGCTGCCAGGCGGCCTGTGGGCCCAGCCCCTGCCAACCAGCCTGCACCAGCTCCTGCCAGCCTGTGTGCTGCACCTCCTCCCCCTGCCCGCAGGCCTGCTGTGTGCCCGTCGGCTGCACCCCCGTCTGCTGCACCCCCGTCTGCTGCAAGCCCGTGTGCTGTGCACCCGTCTGCTTTGGAACCACCCCCTGCCCAGCCCCCTCCTGCTGCCAGCCCACCCCCTGCCCCTCACCCTGCTGCAGACCCTCCTCCTGCGTGTCCCTCATCTGCCGCCCCGTGTGCAGGCCCGCCTGCTGCGTGCCCGCCTCCTCCTGCTGTGCCCCCTCCTCCTCCTGCCAGCCCAGCTGCTGCCGCCCGGCCTCCTGCGTGTCCCTGCTCTGCCGCCCCGCGTGCTCCCGCCCGGCCTGCTGTGTCCCTGTCGCAGCCCAGAAGTCCTGCTGCTGACCAGGCATGTCACCCCCAGGGCCAGCCAGGCACTATGGGGCACTGCAGGTTTCACAGCCGCCTAAGGGTCTGCCTCGTAGGGACTCCTGAGATGCACGGACAGCCCCTCCTCTCAGCCCAGGAGGGTGCCCCATCAAACTCGGGATGACCCTGCCCATGCCCACTGCTGCTCTCCTGCTGGGGTCCCAGGGGTCAGGTTGGGGTCATGCCCACAATGCAAGCCTCAGTGGTCTCACCTCCTCAGAGGCTGCTCGGAAAACCTAATAAACTCACCTGCATTTACCTGGATGGTATTGGCTCTCCTTTGGCCATTTCTATTTGAATTGCCAGCCAGTCCCAACAGAGGCCTGGCCCAATGCCCTCGCTGCCCTGCCCGACGCCAGCCTCGCTCTGGGCCCCTGCCCATGCTGGCCTGGCACCCAGTTCCCATCCCACAGGATCTGGTCCGTCCCAGGAGTGGTGGCCTCAGGGTGGGCAGCCCCCTTCCCAGGAGCCCACTGGCAGTCGCTCCTCAGGGACTTGGCAGTGGCCGGTCCTGGGCATGGTAACCACGCCGCCCTGGTCATCTCCTTCAGGGGTCCCCTTAGGGGAGGCTCCCTGCAGAAGGGGCCTGGCAGGACACAGGGCTCAGTGCCTCCAAGGAGAGCAGACGGGCAGACGCAGCAGCCCCCCTGCCCGCGCCCAGAGGACGGGTCGGGGGAGCACCGGCACTCGCTGCCCAGCCCTCCTGCCCCTTCTTCCTCTGGCCCCCAAACCCTCCTCTCTCTGGAACATCCCGCAGGGGTCACACACATCCTCAAGTCTTCTCTCACATAACAGCCGTCAATAAAACCCAGCACCTCCCTCCCTCCTGGCTCGGAGCTGCCTGCATCCCCCAGGGGACAACAGCTCTCGGTGGTGGCCGTCTCTCACCTGCTCACCCTTCCCTCTCCCCTCCCACCCCGTGCCGGGTCCTGCCCCACAGCTGCTGAGATCAGCCTCACTCCCGTCCCTTCTCCTGTGGACCTGTCCCCACCGAGCTGGGCCCTCAGCTGCAGGATGCGTCTCCCCTGCTCCTATCACCGTCCACTTCGCTATGGCGTGGGGACCTTGGCTCTCTCCCCCCAGGGCCCCTCCTGGACTCAGGCCACTTACACCCTCCAGACAGGACCTTCTTCCAAGCTCG